GGAGATAATAGAGAAGAGTAGTGGGTATTACTCCTTTAGAAGTTATGGACATCCACTACTAGATAATTATTTATAACACTCCTCATTGGATGTCTATAGATAATGTGCCTCATTAAAGCCTCACTAAGAAAAAACCCTGTGGGAAAAAAAATCTTAGTGAAGGAAAAAGAGTACACATATCTTGTAATACGCATTGTTTGTTGCCTCGTTAAAAACCTTGCTAGGAAAATCCAATGGGATAAAACCTCAGCTAAGGAAAAAAGAGTGCAGCACGTATGTGCCCCTCCCTGATGAAAACATCACTTTATTTACCAGAGACGAGGAATTCCAAGCTTGTATAATTATTTCGCCAAATTATCACTTGAACGGATTTCTTGAACATCTATTTCATCTTTCTATTGAAGATCGTCACTAAAAAAAAACTTTGGCGAAATGTGCTTTATTTTGTCTCCTTCAATATATCTTTCTTTCAATTGAGCTATGCAAGCAGCATCGTCTTCAATATTATTGGAATCATCTCTTCAAAGAAAAGTCACACGTCGGTTGTGTGTTGAGTCACTTGCTTTATCAGATGTTAATATCTTGATATGAAGAACGAACTTCATGTAATGCCCTGCATTTACATAACCAACAAAACTTTGACAATATTTGTTAGAATAAACAAATCTATCAATGATTCTCTTGTACTATATTACTAATTGCATTCCAGTATCTCCATATCGAATTAAAGTTAAATCTTGCTAGTATAACGTTATACTCAAGGTTCTAGCAAGAAACATAAGTGCACCCAGTGCACTAAGACACAAAAATAAATCATATATGTCATACATGGATTGCTGAAGCTTTATTTAACAAAATTGTTGGGAACCTCTATATGCTTCAGAACAGTTTAAATCCTTCAAGGATTTTTATTATACACATATCAAGTTTTTCATGTATTGCCATATAAAAACCTGAAAACAATTTCATTCACCATAGGAGAACCTGTCTACATATAACTAATGCCGGGATATTTATGAAAAATTGTGTTCCACAAGTTGTCTTTATATCTACCGACTTGATTTTATATTTCACTTTCAGGTGTTGGGACTATCGGTCCAACTTCACATTTTTCAGGTGAAATCAAATTTCATTGCGTATTTTTTCAATTGGCCAATTATTTATCTGTCCAAATTCCATGACAGAATTAAGCTCAAGATCCTCTTCAATATTAATAATATTGAGCGCTACATTATATTAATAATATCGTCGACGATCATTTTACATCGGTTCCGTCGTTACCCACTAAAGACATAACTTATTGTGATCTCTTTATCTCATTATTTTCAGGTACCTGAGTCTCTCCCATGAGGTCTTATAAAGTGTTATGTCATGGTGCTCTTATAAAGCACTTGCCTCCTTATTGTGTCCATCTTGAACATTTGTCCATCTCCTTCTTCAAGGAGCTTTATCTTTAGAACCGATTAGTCTATTACACTTCATGTGTGTCATAAACTCTGTCCATCATGGACTTTATTTATTTGGAGTATTAACAGCTGAAATATGACATTTAGCTTTGGGTTAGCAAATGCACCTTGCAATATTTTGGAAATGAATTATCATTTGAACTTCAAGTTCACATTTTCTTGTACGAGGATCTAGATATATTTATAATAATTCATTCCATGTATCACTTTTTCAGCTGCCCATTTTCTCCCCCTAATGTTGGGATCACTAATACATTTCACAACCTTCTTTGGGAACTCATCTTTATGCATTGTGACAGCACAATTAAATCATATAACATATCCATATTTCTAGATGGGAATATTTGGTTCCTGACCCTGAATCAATTAAGATAGGGAGAACTTATCATAACTTATTGGCTAGATGCGTACAAGTGGTACTATCTATTAAATAATATACCTCATACCAAATTTCTTTTTGGGAGTTTTATTCTCATAACTAATGGTTTAGCTATAATTGGAGGCATACAGTTTCTGCTAAACCAACTTGGATTTAAACCAGCATTATCAAGATAAATTATCATAATTTATATTCTGTAATTGTGCTCTAATAATTTGAGCAAACAACCTTGCAAAAACCAAATTGCAAGTTGATAACAAACGCACATGTGACCATACAATAGGTGCATCTATTAAAATCATATAATAGTAAACGGTCCACATCGCAGGTGATTGGGTCCATACATATATCACCTTTTATACGTTCCAAAAATTAGGGAATACAATCCCAACCCTAGTTGGTATAGTAATCAGTTTATCATGAGAACAAGTCGTACATGAAAATTCTCGAAGAATCTCCTAATTCTTCAAAATATGTCAATGTGAATTCTCAAGTAATTTTCGCATCATAATTGAATCGAGATGGCCAACCGGTCATGCCAACTAATCTTTGTTTCAGTAAACATTTAATTTACTATGGCACGTGATTCCATCATCATGCTTATATATTTGTAGTACAAATAGAAGAAAAGTTGGGTAACCTTTTATATTTACCCGGTATGATTATAGTAGTATAAAGATATTCAATCTTTCTTTCATGTATAGTCTCAATATGCCAACTACTTTGGCTAATATATTTGAAACTCAAAAATTTCTTTTGAGACTTACTACAATATCAATGTCATGGATAATTTTATTTATTCGGGTAGTAACAAATTAGCTTTTTCGGATCTCTTAATTGATTTTGTACTACAAGACTTTTTTCTCACCATTCATATGGTAAATGTCTCCTTCACGGAGAAAAATTAAATTATTATAGTCATGGTTAATCATCATAAGCAAAATCATTTCTTGCTTTAAGTTTGCCTTTAATAACTTTTTATAAGGCATGTCAAAATATTTTTGGTATACCACATGTACACGACCAATGACATATTCATGTAACCATATAGTAATATTCATTATCTTTCTTTCTCTCAAACCTCCCTTAGAGGTGAGTTGTGGTGTGTATCCAATCATGCATTGCACGTCTTTATTCATTATTTTTATTACATATTGTTACATTCACCTTCAAGAATAAATCTGCATTCTCAATGCTTATCACAAGTCACAATCTCTTCAAAGAATGGAGTATAATTATCGCGACGTGCTTTATAAATTTTCCATACCAATTTGATGGTAAATATTTCCTTCACCTTTTGAAGGATTACTTCGAGAACCCTTATTGTTCTCCTTTTATTGTTACCATTGTGATGACAATTATTATTTCGTCGCTTGCCATGCACTCGTACATTCATACAATCATGAAAAATTATTTTCATTAGTCATCATTAGATCATCAATATGGTGCATTAGGACTCAAACCCAATGCCTTACCCATATAAAGGCATGTAAGGCTATAATGCATTGGGATCAAATCCAACTCTTATAATCACGGTGCACCGGGGCTCACACCCGATGCCTTACCCTCATGGTGCTGTAAACTTGAATCCACCGTCTTACCCTCAAGCCATAGTCAATATGGACATTCTTCATTTAGCCAGCTTATTTTCCTGCAAAAATTTATTTGTATTATCATGTAATATAAACTAGACCAAGCTAACCTCAAAATAATTTAAAATAAGAATGCATAGATTCATTCCCTGTAAGCTAGTTGAACTCATGCAACCATATGACATATTAATGTATCTTCAAGATATTTCAATGGCTCACGGGAACACTTTGGAAAAGTTGCAAACTTTGTCTAACTCGCTGGTCTTGATGCAATGAGGCGAACTGTGATGATTGTAAAAGTCTTTCAGGAAGGAGATACTATCCGATTGAAATAGATATCTCAATTGGTTAGAGACTCGTGCTGATAACGTATTACGAAACTTAGCTCAAAGTAATAAAACAAGAAAATAGACAAGAATGTAGAGAGCAAGAGATGAGAGTGTGTCAAGTGGGTACAGTATCACTTCTCATCCTCTATTTATAATATTACATAGATATCCACCACTAGATAATTATTTATAACAGATTTCTTATAACTACCGCCAAGGTGAATTCGAAACGACACATATCTTGGCGCGCTATACTGATTGAACCATTCTGCTTCAGTATCGGACACCACCCTTGTAAAAATGTCCAAATCTATGGATTCAACTCCTTCAACAACATGTCACTCTGTTACTCCTTTCCACTTAAGCGGTTTCTTGAGTGGCAACTTCAACCATTCAAGTTTTAGGCACATTGCCAATTTACAGTTCTCTATACAATTCAAGCTCAACCTCCATCACAAGCACGATTTTCACAATTCTGTTCCTTTTCTAGATATAAATCCCGTGGAAATTCAAGCCCCGTTTGATTCCATTTCTAGTCCATCTTCTTGCATGACACCTAATTCCATTTCAACCCCTGATGATACGGATCAAGAACACAATTAGACCATTCAAAAGCAATATGGTGACAATAATGGTGAAAGAGACATCACTCTAACGAGGTTGAGAAGTGGAGTTTTTTCTCCTGTGAACTATTCTCCTCACAGTTATGGGGTGTTCTAAGGTGCTTTGGTTTCGAGGAACAGAGAAAGGAGGAAAAAGAAAGAGACAGAAAACGGAGATTTGTTGGAAAGAGTTCTAACGGGGTACTTTTTCCATTTAAGCCCTGCAATTCCTCCTCTTTCTTTGTGATGGCAACCAGGAGTAAAGTCAAGCATTCGTCATTTGGAGAAACAAGCAAGAGATTGACTAAGATATGGTCTAAGCTCTCCCATGATCAAATGAAGGTATTTGATCTTTTTTCTTTTTCTTCTTGGGCAAGAAGCACAAATGATCAGAACACAGATGTGAGTTTATAAAGAATGGTGTACTGAATTGGAGTAATTCTATTCTTGATGCCGTAGTTCATTTACTTAGTACATTTGCTATAAATATGTTCGCCCTCTTAAATTACCTAAAATTAAAATGCTTTTATTCAGTGGTCTGTTGATTTCATGGGGGAAGAAAGGTGGTTTGGGGGTGGGGGTTAGGAAAGAAGAACGTAAAACTGGAAAAACATAGAGATATGGATTTATAATCCAGCAATATAGATGAAATGCCTACTGTAACAATCACAGTTTTACATGAATAACTTGTGTGAAATTGAAGAACTTCAGAATCTTAATACTCCAATACAAATGAAATTCCTACTACAACAATCACAGTTTTACATGAATAGCTTGTATGAAATTGTAAAACTATAAAATCTTACGTAATACTTTGCGAGTGCCTTCTTAGTAACTGACTAACTGTACAGGAACTCTACACCCAAAACAATATGAAAAGTTGAGACCTGGGTTGGTACTGTTGCTTGATAAGATGCTATAACGAAAATGGCTTGGTGTAAACATCAAATGGCTCATTGGCTGTTAACTGTGGCTCCTGCAACCAAAGAGGACAACAACAAGTTTGACATTCAACTATTGATTCCAGATAACTAGATACTAATGTTTCAATGTTCATGATTGGACTGATACTGATGAGAAGAAAGCAAAGAGTACCTTTCATCTGAAAAAAAAGAACTTTTTTCGAGAAGAAAAGAATGGGTAAAAGCTATCAGTTATGCAATTCTATGCGCCATCAGCGATTGGTTACAAATGAACCTATTCCACATCCAGTACTAAAATTCTTCTTAAAAATTTCTACCAAGAATTATGATTTAAACATCTAAATTAAGCAAACAAACATATTCTTTTAGCAAAAAATACCTGTCTCATTCCAATACCAACACTTCCTCCAGTAATCAGCATTGTCAGAAGAGATGTGACAATGCCACCCCCTATACCACTATCAGAACTGCGAATGGAAGATCTCATTGCATTTAGAATACCCCCATATGTAGTTCCTTGTCCATGCTCAATTGCTTGGATGAAGGAAAAGGTCATTGCACCAGTTGAAGTGACCTTGGACAAACTCTGTCATCAATCAAAAGGTCATTCAATTGTCTCTGTTACATTGAATTGATTAACGTCCATATCCAGAATTCAAAACTTAAGAGGATAAAGGAATTTTACATCCGTATCAGCTGAGGTTTGATCATCATCACAACCACTGAAGGATATAACTTCTCCACCACTTGTTCCTTTCCATGCTCCTGATCGAGGACGATGATCTTCCCATACATATCGTCCAGTTCTATATTCAAAGGGAATTAAATATGAGATTATAGGTATAATAAATATTTCTAAATAGGTTTAGACTGAGAGCCATCCACTAGATTCTAGTTTAAGAACCTACATACCATTAGACATTTGCTCATTGAGCAAAAAAATATCTATTCTATTCTCATCCTCACACCTAACCTATAACACAATTTGGAATTAAGTAGAAAAAGTGCGTAGCGTTACAGACCTGTCCATCCTACAGAGAAACGGTAGATCTAGCATAGTACCACTGTGACAAGCATCTATAATAGCATGAAGCTTAGCGCCACGTGGAAGGGGCCTAACTAGTGTTGCATTAATTTCATCATCAACAATCATTCCCTGAGTTTCAAAATCCAAAGGGCAAAGTGTTTCATCAAACCCATCAACTTCATCTCCAGTGTAGTTCCTTTGTTGTGAACCATGACCTGAATAATGAAAGACCAGAGAATCCCCTGCTTGACATCCTTGCACAAGCCAGTACATTGCCATTCTTATATTATGTTTAGTTGGAATTCTGTATGGATCCCTCTCTTCTTCTGAAAGTATACTTCCATAGGAAAATGGAGATTCGTAGTTAGGATTAGTTATAGTGAGCTTCTCCAGACTGATATATTATATAATATGAGAACATGCAATTTTTGGGATCACAATAAATGAGGAAAATTTAAATAGCCTTTATGAATTGGATTATTACCAAGACACCAAACATGAGAAACACATAACAGAATACTAACACAATTTTTGTGAACACAGCCCCCTACAAAAGTGCACGAAGTCATGATTTTAAAACATGGCTAGACACGAGACTTCTATGTCAAGGCCGTTCTCTATATACCAGAGAACTTCTAACCTGTATTCCATTGATTAGTCTGGACCTAACCTCAAGCTTCAACATGGAATTAAATCCTCAAACAATACATTCTGATTTGTGTCAATTTTTTTTAACTGTTCTAGGGAAGCTACTCACTGCTTTCAGATGATTAAGTCATGACACTAAGTAGCAAATGTTAATAAGGTTATTTTAACATTGATGATTGACTTATGCATAGTAGTTAAGGATATGAGACATCAGCTGCTTGTTCCAGCATTGACATCTCACTTCCAGGCATTACATCAGCACACTCTTTGGGAGAAAGCTGTGATTGTCGCTAGGAGTGTTCATGGTTCGGTTTGGATCGGTTTTTCTCTAAACAGAAACCAAACCAACTAAGTCGGTTTTTCAAATATTAGAACCAAACCAAACCAAGTAAGTCGGTTTTTCGGTTTTTCCGGTTATTTGTCGGTTTTTTCTTAAATATACGACATACACTACCAAACACACATTTCGGTGACCACATTTTCAACGTAACACTATCAAATCAATTGCCCTTAGAGAAATATATTATTTACCAAGATATATTGATGATAATTGAATCAAATAGTGATGAATAATTTAAGGACTCAATTAAAAATATATTATTTTTAACATGAAATAGATTCTTACACTTAACAAAAGAAAACTACCAATTAAACTAGAATGTAAAGGTAAAGAACTGTACTAAAAGTGTAAACGATTAATATTTACTATAATTTTTTTAAAACTTTGTATAAAAGTATACATATATATAGGTGTAATAATAAATTTAAAATAGCTACTCCTATATTCGGTTTGGTCGGGTTTTTTTTAATTAAAACCAAAACCAAACCAAATTTGATCAGTTTTTAAATTTTAAAACCAAACAAAAAAGTATCGGTTTTTTTGGTCGGTTTGGTTTGGTTTTCGGTTTGGTTCGGGTTTTCGGATTTTAATGAACACCCCCAATTGTCGCATAAAGGTGTAAAGAAAAAAATAAAGGGCATCTTAGGTACATCTCTTTTTATTAAATGTTGTTCCCTCTGTCTCCTCATGATATTCCCCCTGTCTCCTCTTTTGTAATACAATTGAGCGAACAAAGTTTTAGAAGTTAATCTGACTTATCTATTGCTAATTATAGCTAAATGTTAGTTGATAGAGCAAACACCACATTATTGTTTAATACGATTTGTTAAACAAGTTTGAATTCTTGAAACTATTGAAGGTTGCAACAAATGTCAAGTATTTTGCAACTTCCCAGAAAAGAAAGATAGTTACAAGTACATAAATTGGGACCGAGGAATAAATAGGATAAACACTAAAAAAACTGTGAAGTGCCTTATACATAAAACATAAACCCAGAACGATCACGAGAATATAGACATTACTGGCCTTCTAAAACAACATAATCTCAAATTATTACTATACTAGTTTCTGCTGAATAGTGGCAACTGACAACCGAAGATTTTGGTTAGTAATAGCACAGTGGAAGTATTCGTCTACAATTGCAGTAAGAGATACATAAAGAACCGAACTAAAGGCAAAATTGACAATGAAGCACTGCTTTTACGAAAAGTTCACATAAGAAAAACCAAGTGAAAAGTTTACACAAAAAGTGGTTGATCTTTCCTGTAAAGGAAGTGTTAAAAAATACTTTTCCATTTGGCGATCAACACTATCAGTTGGTTTTGAAATTCATAAAACATTGCATTTGTACAATATAACTAATCGGGAACCTAAAATGCTTGTTGGACTCAATACTTTGGGTTTCTACAATTATCGAATGGTCTCTTGTCTGCACACAAATTTAGTAGTATAAAATAGTAAAGAAAAGTAAAGTATTCATTCACTGACTTTCTTTCAATTGCTAGTTTGTTTCCCTCCTGAACTCCAAAATATTGGTCACTAACCCTGTTTTTGAAATTCAATTAATTAACAAGCTGAATATTTTCGTATATCATGAAGTGATTAATGTAATTGCCTTCAAAAATAGGGACACACTGCATTCAGAAATAGTCAAACTTACCTCAGAGCAAGTCAAAATCAAGTGAATCATGCAATCCAGGATGAGGAAGAAGTAATATAGTCAACAAGAAATGTACAATGCAGTCAAATAGAACAATTTGGAATAGAAGAAAGAGGAAATTAAAGAATTTTACCAGTAAGCATGAGAATGGAGTCTTGAGGAAATTTGAACCGATTAGTCAGCAAGTGCCTCATACATTTAGCATCATTGATGCAGCCTTTCAGTTCATTCCGGGTATTCTTATACGAAATCCCGACAATCACAGCTCTCTTCCGGCCGCCGCGTGACGACGGCGAGGGAGTTTGACTGGTAGTTGAGTGATAATTATAAGGAGATGGGGCAGGGGCCGGAGGATAGTAGTGGTTGTTATAGGCGGAAGCTGGTGGTGGCGGTGGCGGGGCAGTGCGAGGATCGGCGATGAGGGTAATGGCTCGGCAGATTGCGCAGCGAATGGATTTTGCCCCCGGTGGCAATTGTAAAGGTGTGTGGCAATTGGAACAGTTAACAAGCATCATTATTTTATTAAAAAAGCCACAAACCATGAAATTTTGATATACAAAAAATACTGAAAATGGTGATCTCTATATATACTCCTATGGCTGTAAATTTATTTTCTGGGGGTGTAGTGGTAGTGGCTAGGTGGGTGAAAGCAAAGGTGTGAGTTTATAGAGAAAATAGGAGAAGTGGGAGTTGGTAGGAAGGAGAAGGGAGGAGGAGACGAAGGCTCGTGGTTGACTTTCATGCAACTTTCTTATTTTCTTCCCCCTTTTTTTTGTTTTCATGCATAACTTGGGTTTGTAGTTGTATAATTTAGGTTATTAACTTTTGCCAATTAAGTAAGTTTATAAATTGCATTTCTTAAATGAAAAATCTTAGTTACTTTTGACGAAAATTTTCTGTATGCTTTTTGTGTTACATTCATACGACTAGCCCTTTTGCGTGTACCATGTGTAGTGTCATGGGCTACTTTCCAGACATGCCCCATGACCCCTTGGCCGCGCCCCATGGCGGCCTAGCAAGCCTCACAATGCCTAGCGCCATGGTCGGCCCCGTGGTCTTGGCTGCGCCAAGTGACAAGCGCGCATGTGCCTCTGTCGCCCCACCGATGCCTCTCGCCAGCGCCCAAGGGCTGGTCATTGACAACAGCGCCGCGCGC